CTTGCAACACATATTGTCTAAGTGGCTGGATGGATGGGTGGACAGATGCATGAATGAATGGATGGGTGGATAGATGGACAGAGATGATGGATGCATGCATGCATGTATTCATGGATGGATGGATGTCAGACTGATGGATGGATAGATGGACAGAAGACAGGAAGAGAAGGAAAGGGAGGGAATGAATGTGTGACCAACAAGGCTGGACAGTCCCCAACTTTGCTGCCACAACAGAAGGCTCAGTGGAGGTAGCTGGTCATTGGTTCCCCAATCACAGGCAGTGCAGACAAACTTATCAGTTACTCAAAGGCCTTTCCACACTGCCCCAACACCTCCCTAAGAGCCTGCACTCATGTGACTCCTACATACTGCACCCCCCTCTCATCACTGCAGAGTTGATATGGGATACACTAAGACGAAAGGACAAAACCTGGGTCATTTTGGACCAGGGTTCCAGATTCTGTTAATGCATTTGGGAAGAAGGCATCTGTATCTCTAAATGTGACAAAGCAGTATGAACTGGTTTGAGAGAGAACAGACAGGACAGGAACATGTGGATTTGAGAGTTAGGTGGACCAGGGCTCAAATCTCAGCTCAGCCATATATACTAGTTATGTGACCTTAAGCAAGTCCCTTATTCTCTCTAAGCTTCAGTGTTTTCATCTGCAAAATGAGGTGATAATCTCTACCTTCATACCATGTTTGTGAAGATTAAATGAGATGACAGTATATGCATGGCCCTAGCACAGAGCCTGGTTTACAGAAGACAATCAGTAAACGTTAGTTTCATTTCACTCTATTCAATTGTCCAAGTGGTACTATAAAATGAAAACTTTATAGGAATAAAATATTAATATTAAATTTACTCCCCAAAACTGTTCAAGACCAAAATTTAAGAATGAGGTCAAATCTATATCAATTGATAAATGGATAAACAGAACATAAATATAATGGAATATTATTCAGTCTTAAAAAGGAATGGAGTACTGATTCATACTCAACACGGGTGAACCTTGGAAACATTGTGCTAAGTCAAAGAAGCTGGGCACAAATGGCCACATATTGTATGATTCCATTTGTAGGAAATATCTAGACTAGGCAAATCCATAGAGACAGAAAGTAGGCTAGAGGTTAGCAGGGGTTGGGGGTTAGGAGAAATGGGAATTACTGCTTAATGGTTACAAAGTTTCTGTTTGGGGTGACAAAAAAGTTTTGGGAATAGATAGTGGTCATGGTTACACAACACTATAAATATAATTAATGCCACTGAAACATACACTTAAAATGGTTAAAATGGGGGCCGGCCCCGTGGCTTGGTGGTGAAGTGAGCGCGCTCCACTGCTGGCGACCCGGGTTCGGATCCCGGGCTCGCACCAACGCGCTGCTTGTCTGGCCATGCTGAGGCCGCGTCCCACATACAGCAACTAGAAGGATGTGCAGCTATGACACACAACTATCTACTGGGGCTTTGGGGGGAAAAAATAAATAAATAAAATCTTAAAAAAAAAAAAATGGTTAAAATGGATGTTTTACCACAGTGGAAGAATTTTTTAAAAAAAGAATAGGAAGAGTTAGCAAAGTGACAATTCTCCTAGTTTGCCTAAAAAAGGAAAGAGCGACATGACTTTCTGTTGTATAAACATTAAAAACCCTCAGAGTTAACTAGATGAAGGTGTCTTTTGCCCTTTGAGATCTAAAATGTGTTTTCAGTTTATGAAATGAAATTTGGAAACACGACCTGGATGTTTTGCTTTCTGTAATGTGGGGGCAGGAGAGAGGAGAAAGAGAAAAACTTTGGAAGACAACCAACCACGGAGTAGGTTTTTACCACTCTCAAATTAAGACATGTCTATGCACCCAACATGAATTCTGGTTGGACGCATTTTAACAGGGACGATAGTTTGGTCTCAGCAGTCTACCCCAGGACTGGGAAGGGCCTCGCCACCCTCCCCAGGCCGCGGGAGATCTTTTCGAAGCTGCACAACCCTAACCCCAGTCATCCAGCAAGGAACACTGAAGCCACGCCATCCTCAGCCCATGAGCTGTGTCCCCGAGTCTTTCGATTTTGAAAGAATGTACCCAAAGGATGAGCTTACATTTGAGGAGAACCCGGCAGTGTTGGACGGTGGGATGGGGGCTGGGGAGCCGTCCGTAATCCTCAGGCAGTCTGATGACATGGCCAACACCACAAGTTGTAATCCAGGCACCAGGCACCCAGACAGGGGCACCGTCCAGGGACCAGAGGCAGCTTACAGGACTGCCAATTACTTCTGCCAAACAGCATCCCTCCTTTTATCTTGCACTCTCCCTCCTGTCTGAGAAGAAGGCCCATCTTGGACACTTGGACACCAAGTGTGGCTTTCAAGGCACAATTCCGGCTCAGAGATTGTTTCAGTAGTGAGCCGTGCACTCCCCTGCCCTACAATAGGTGTCTCCAGCATAGCCTCCTACCCAGGCCCAGAACTGAATTTGAAAAAACTCCATGATGTGGACAAGTACCGAGCCATCTACGTGGCCCAGAGTTAAGATGTATGACTGGAACGGGCCCGGGAAGAGCAGCTCGAAAGCTCTGTTCCTGCTTAACCACGGATGGAAATTTTCATCCTCTGTGTCCATGGAAGCACTAGGGGTATAATTTTCTTTCAATTACTGCCATGCTTTATCAGTGCTTGTAATTATTTCCATTACCGAACCAAGAGCACGTGTGAAATACAAACTGACATACCCAGAAAAAACGAAATGCGACCCTGAATGAAGAACAATGGGAAGGAAACTTCTCAATGTGGTCAACACACGTCTGGATCCCGATGCCCTGGGACTGAGCCAGAACGCGACACTGCGCTGTTCCTGAGGGTGAGACAAGTCCCGGCACACGGACTGTGAACACGGCTTTCACTCACTGCCTTAGCGGTTTCCTGAGAAGCTCTCCTGGCTACGACATTTTATTTGAGTGACCTCCGACAAGGACCTCAAAAGTGCAAACAACCATGGGAGTGAGCATCAAGAGGGAAGTTCATTCTGTGTTGTATAGCTGGGATCTCTGGGGAACAATAGCTTTCAGCAGGGCAGTATATCAGTCAGGACTTTTATTTTCAAATGTCAGAATGGGGTGAAATTAACTTTAAAAAGAAAGAGATGCATTGCCCTTCTTGACTGAAAAATTCATGAAGATTCAGGTACAGCTGGATGCAGGTGCTCCAAAGACATCATCAGGACTTTCCTTCCCCATCTCTCAAGTCTGGTTTCTCTGTGTTGGTTTTATTGACGGTGGGAGGGGGAAGGATTCGCCATACTGTGGCCCCCAGCAGCTCCAGGCTCACATTCCACCAGCTCTGAAACTCCCGTGAAAAGAGACCCTCTCAGGGCTGGCCCAGTGGCGTAGCAGTTAAGTTCATGCATTCTGCTTTGGCAGCCCAGGGTTCACCAGTTCGGCTCCTGGGCGTGGACACACTTACCACTCATCAAGCCATGCTGAGGCGGCGTCCCATACAGAAGAGCTACAACTCTACAACTGATACACAACTATGTACTGGGGCTTTGGGGAGAAAAAAAAGAAAGAAAAAAAGAGGAAGACTGGCAACAGATGTTAGCGCAGGGCCAATCTCCCTCAAAAAAAAAAAAAAAGAGAGAGAGAGACCCTCTTTATTCCAAAGTTTCCAGGAAAAGTACAGAATCTGCCTCTTTTTTGGCTGACTGGGTCATGTGCTTATCACTAGATGGCAGAGTTAGCCCACCTCAGGCCATGGCCTGGAAATAGAGAAAGGGGTTTGCCCAAAGGAAAACCAGGGTGTGTCACCAAAATGATGGGGGACAGATGTAATGCTGCCCAGCAGGCAACATCCTGGTAATGGTTGGGCCTTGGCCCGACTAGCTCCTGGCCCTTACCAGCTTTCTCTTCCAGGCCCGTCGGGGCCACCGGACTGCACCTACTGATTCTGCTGCAGACCCGCCCCAGCTTCTAGACCAGCCCAGCCTAAGGCAAGCAGGCAGGGGCTGGCTCTTGCCCTGCTGTCTGTGCTGAGGCCTCCTCCACACCATGAACCGGGTTTTCTTTCTTCGTGGAGCTCCCTGTCTAGAGTCCTCGACAGCTCGTCACTCATTCTCTCACTCGCTCGTGTAACAGCTGTGTGTGAGCCCAGTGCTCGGCCAGACTCCTTTTCCACACACACTGCCTGTTCAATCCACGGAACTCGTTAGGGTAAGTGGTCTCCTCACTTTAAAGACGAAGAAACTCGGGCCACAAGAGGTTGAGTGACTTGGCTAAGCTCACAGGGCGAGTGAAGACAGGCTACAACGGTGGAGCCACTCCCAGGATCTGGTGGGTTTGGTGGGCGTGACCCTATCCCCTGACCCGTGGGTAGGCATATGACCCGGGCTGGCCAAGCAGAGCCTCGCATCCTCTCAGCTACCGTGACCGGTCTGGGGGACTCGTGGCTGTGGCTGGACTGGTGGAAGTGCTTTGCGGGATGCTGCTGGGACCGCTGGGTCGCACAGCTGGGAGGATGTGGCCTGGGGCTGGCAGGGGCTGTCACCGTCCTCACAGGGAAAGAGCTCGCCTGAGAATGATGTCAACAAGGAACCGCAGAGCCGAGAGACAGGCAAACCCACCAGGAGGGTGTCAACTGCTCCTGAAACCAGAGCCCCCGGAGCCCAGCACATGTGCTCTAACACTTAAGCCAGATTGAGCCACGCTCCATCACCTGCAATAAGAGGAGGCCCAGGGCAGGGGTGTCCCGCCGGCGAGTCTGCAGGGGGGGCTTCCATTCCCGAGCTCGGGGGCCAGTGACCAGAGGGAGTCAGGCAGGCCACAAAGGGCCTGAACCTCAAAACGTGGGTTCAGACTCAGGGCTGCAGTCCAGTGTTCCCTCAGCCACACGCCTCGCTGCCCAGATGTCGGGGTTGGTAAACAGCGGCTGTGCGAGCTAAGGAACGATTCAGTCACGCTGCTCCTTGAACTCCTGTTTATTATATTAAACAACGTGTGGAATTGCTACCTACACTCATCCTCAAACTGCTGCCCTAGAGAAAGATAGCCTCATTCATCCGAGTTCCCAGGATGCGGTGGTAGTAGAGCCAGATGGGAGAGGGAGGGACTGGGTCCAGACGCTAAGCCACACCTCAGAGGCCAGCTGGTGTAGGAGGGGTCACAAGCAAAAGGGAAAAGGTGGAGGTGTCGGTCACCAGAAGTGCAGCCCAAAGGGTTGGGACAAGCAGGGCCAGGACGGGGCGGGGGTTGAGGGGGTGGGCAGTGGGAGGAAGGTGAGCTGAGCAAGGGCAGCCCTCAGGGCAAAGGCCAGCGCACCACCCCAGAGCTTTCCCTCCTGTGCTGGGGGGAAGGAGCAGGCGGAGCATCCTTGATGGGAACTGCCTGAGCCGGACGGCTGTCTAAATGTTTTTACAAACACCCACTCTTCCCAGCCTCCTGACTGCCAGTACCAGGAGCCTTGGCCTTTTCCATTTGTCCATCTGTCTGTCCTGAGATAAGCGACCAACCCCTCACCTCCCGTTTCTGGGCGCCCACAAGCTCCAACAGGCCGGGGCAGACTGCAGCCTTCTATCAGAAGGGCTCGTACGGGTTCTATTTCCAGAAGGTGGCTGCCAGGATGGTTGGTGTGTCACAAGCTTGCACCGGGCACATCACTGGGTACAAACTGTCCTCATGACTCGGTGACCAACTGGGGTGGGGAGGAGGGGTGCCTGGCCTCTGCGAAGAGCTGAGACAACTGTGTGTCCCCAGGGGGCTGCAATCGCCATGCTGCCTTAGGGCAGCGTTCCAGGTCTCTCCTGGGACCCAGTGGCTTGCTGGCTGCAAGCTGGTGCTCAGAGTGCCCGCTCGGCCCCTGAGCAGCCTGGACACTGAGGGTTCAGGACTTCTGCTGCACCTCTTTGCTGCAAGCCTGGTGTGGCTGACGGCAGCTCGGCCCCAGCCAAACACAGCCTCTCATTTCTCAGATAAACAGTCTTGAAATGGCAAGTGCCAACATGATGTTTCCAGGATTTCTTGGACATTAAATAGCTCCCCACACTCACATACACACACACACACACACACACACACACACACTGATGACTTAAGTGTAAATGAATCAGAACACCTGGACACTTTTCTTAAAATACAAGTGAATTTTAAATTCAAGAAGAAAGGCCCAAAACACATTTGGAGTCTTGGCAAACACAGCAGCTTTCGGCTAAGAAATCTGGCCATCTCTGAGTGCAGTGCCTGATCCCATCTGCATGCTCATTGAGCTGTCACTTACCCAGTGTGCTAATTCCCACCTCTGGGCCTTCTTCCATCTACCGTTCTACCCCTCTGCTTGCCTGCCTCCTAGAAACCCTCGACCCTTACTCATGACAAGTCCTGGCTTAAATACTAGCCCTTTTTAAAATTCTTCCTCAACTAAGCCCACTCACGATTATTCACTCACCCCTTCACCAATTTAACAACTCCCTAGGAGGCTATCTGTTGATTCTGACTATTAAGTCTCCACTCACCCCTTTTTCGGCAAGGATAGCCTCATTTTTCTCCCTTCCCTAGCTCATCCCAGTTCACTGGTCGGGTGGGACTGACCCAACCCCCCATTAGCTACAAGGATGGACACACATCTCTGGCCTGGTCTTCACTCCCTGGCCACAGTGATTGGTTCCAAGCCGAGCAAGTGACTTGCATTAGTTAAATGAGAGTTAATCCCATGACTTCTCCTAAAACTAATGGAAAAGAAGTGCTCTGTGTCCACTGGGATTTCCGAGCCTGGAGTTGTTGGCAGCCATCTTGCCACCACTTAGAAAGGGTGATTAGTTATCTATGACTGAGTAACAACACGACCCAAAACTCAGTGTCGTAAAACATCCATTTATTATTTCTCTTGGTTCCGTGGATGAACTGGGCTGAGCTGGGCAGTTTTGTTCCGCATGGTGACGGCTGAGGTCACCCATGGCTGCACTCAATTGAGAGCTTGTCTAAGACAGCTGGAATGTCTGTGATGGCCTCATCTCCACGGTCTGTCTCCATGTGGCCTTTCATCCTTCAACAGTCTAGCCCTGAGCTGCTTTAGCTGGGTGGCCGGGCTCCATGAAGAGCGCTCCAAGACGACCAGCCCCAGTGTACAAATGGCGTGTCAAGCCTCTACTTGTATCACACTCACTAATGTCTAATTGGCCAGAGCAAATCGCACAGCCAAGCTCAGAGGCAGCGTGGGAGGGAGCTACACACAGGACGAACATCAGGAGGCGTGGTCCACTGGGGGCCACCAATGTACCTGTCTAACAGAGGAGCCTGGGAGGAAGGTTTTTCATGTCATCACTGGAGTCTTGGGGCCCAGGTATGCCTGAAGTCAGAGATCTACCCCTGCTCTGTCTAGTTAGATAAACCAAAAACAAACAAATAAACAAATCCTTGTTTTGCTGTTGTTTAATCAAGTCATTCTGAGTTATGTTTCCATCACTGACCAGTACAGTGACCAATGCTGTCTCTACGGCAAGCCCAAGGTGGACACTGGGGACACACACTGACATCAGACACAGCTGGCTTAGCTAGAGGCGTTCCAGTTGTCTTTCTCCCCAACAAAACTACAAATGCCCAGCCTCCGACCTGATTTACAACTCACTATGCCTAGCACAGAGCTGGCACCTGAGAAGTGGTCAGGAAAAGCTCAGACGAACTGTTACAGCACTATACATTCCCAAGCGCCCTGCACAAATGTGCTCAAGTCCTGTGTGGTCAGGGAACAGCTCTCAAAGTGAACCAGGAACTGTTTACTTTGACGACTGAAGAATGTCCCAGCCCCAGTCCCAGAGAGGTTGGCCAAGCTTTCCAGAGCTGCCCATGATGGGTAACATCATTTCCTCAACAGTTTATCTGCAGTCCTTGCCCTGAGAGGCAGCCTCTCTTGTCTTCTAGAATAGTGAGGGTAAGCACGAAAGAAGAAAATTGAATTTGAAACCTACAGATGCATGGTGGTTTTAAACATGCCCACAAATTCTTTGCCACTATTCCCTCAAAAGGCGGGTCTAACTTTTGTCTAACTTCTCTTGAACAGCAGCCAGCCTTAACAACTCACTTCTAATGAAGAGAATGTGGCAGAAGTGAATTTGCATGAGTTCTCAGGCCAGTCAGAAAGGCAATATAGCCTCTCCTGGCTCCCTCTTGGGACATTCACCCTTAGAACCCAGTGATCATGTTTTAAGCTACAAAGTTTTGGAGTAGTTTGTAACACAGCCATAGATAACTGGAACAAGATGGAAGTGACTCTAAAGATAATATAGGTCAACTCACCCATTTGACAGGTGGGAAAAAGTACAGAAGATGCAAATGACTTGCCCCAAGGTGACCCAGGACAGGATGTGGACTCAGATCTCTTGATTGCAAGTCTAATGCTCTTTGTGTCACCTGCCTGGAGTGTCACACTCATTCTGACCCTCTTCTCCCTGACCTTTCTGTGAAGATGAAGGCCTGCCACTCAGGATGGACGGATGGAAAGATAAAAAGAGCCTGGGTTCCGTAAACATCCCACAGCAGCCACACTAGCCTTGGACTGCCCACCTCCAGAATTAGCAGGCAAGAAAAATAAATCCCTGTGGGTTTAAGTTAGGGTTTCTGTTATCTGCGGCCAAATGCATGCCCAACTGATGCACTGGCTTTCAGACTGCACTGGATTCAAAGCTCCTACTGTGGTGTTTCCAACTTATTTTGTTGCTCTCGCCAAAAACCATGTAACCGAGCTGTAACTCCAGGAGCTGACTTGAGAGAGCTCCCCACTCTGCCGTGCTCGCTGCCAGAATCGCCCATCTACTAACAGCAAGCTGGTCCTCGCCTGTCCTCAGCCCTCTAAGCTGACCTGGGCCTGTGCTGGCATCCGGAATGCTCCTTCTGGCCAGAGGAGGACAAAGCGTTCTCTCAGCCCTGCGGTCACTGAGCTATACCACCAGACTCACCATGGGCTGCCAACGCCCTCAGAGGGTGCAATGAGACAGGTTACACAGCTCCCGACTGACAACCAGGACAGGGCAGACCCCCAGTAAAGAGTGTGGCCACACCTGGCACACCTGTGAGTATGCATGAAGGCTGGCTGGGGTGTGCCATCTGCTGAGATGGGCGGGGTTCGCTCAGAGACACCCTATTCAGGTTCTGACCCAGCCTAGGCCTGAGGTCACCCCCGCGCAGAATCGAAAAGCTGAGGGCTGTGACAGGGCTTTACACCAGGCATATTTTTTGCTGAGTCTGTTTACCTGGTCATGATTTAGTATGATCCCTTTAAAAATAATCAGGTCATTAAAAGGAACCTCCACAACCACGTCTTGGGCAAGACCCCTGGGGATGGCTCACTTTATGGCTGCCTTAATCTAAAAAACATGGGGATGGAAATGGCCTTTTTAGGAGCAGCCCTGCAGAGATGGAGCAGCAGGAGTGTCCTTCCACCTAATGCCACATGCATTCAGCTAAAACGGCCCCCAAGGTGCCGTGAGAAAGAAGCTCCGGAAACACAGACCCAAGCCGATCGCTGACAAGTCTAAGCTCCCCGAGCTGCAGCTTACAAAGGTGTCTGCACCTGTCACTTCACTTGAGTCACACAGTAACCCCATAAAAGCAGTGTAGCTATTGTTGTCCCCATTTTACAGGTGGGGAAACTGAGTCTCGAGGCATTGAAGGGACTTGCCCAAGGCCAATGCAAGTAATAGGCGCTATGGATTGAATGTTTGTGTCCCCTCAAAATTCCTATGTTGAAGCTCTAACCCCAATGTGATAGTATTAGTAGATGGGGCCTTTGGGAGGTAGGTGTAGATGAGGTCATGACGGCAGGGTCCTCACGATGGGATTAGTGTATTTATAAGAAGAGGAACTCCCACAGCCTTGCTGTGTGCTCACATGATGGAGAGAGAGGGAGTTCTAGTCTCTGCCTCTTCTGAACCATTTTTAAGTGTACAGTTCAGTGGCACTAGGCACATTTACACTGTTGTGCAACCAGCACCACCATCCATCTCCAGAACATTTTCATCATCCAACCTGAAACTCTGTACCCATTAAACAACTTTCTATTCCCCCCTCCCCCAGCAATCACCCTTCTACTTTCTGTCTCTATGAATCTGGCTACTCTAAGTGCCTCATATAAATGGAATCATACAGTATTTGTCCTGTGGTGACTGGTTCATTTCATGTAACATAATGTCCTTAAGGTTCATCTATGTTGCAGCATGTGTCAGAATTTCCTTCCTTTCTAAGGCTGAGTAATACTCCATAGTACGTACATACTACACCATTTATCCATTCATCTGTGTTACAGTTTATCGTCATCAGTAGCACAGAGGAACCAAATGTGAGAAGCTCCTCCTCCTTTCTCAGGAACTAGGACCAACGGCTTGTTCAGTTTTCAGAGTGTGGCCTCGGTCTCCCAGCTCCACTTCCAGGAACAATTCCTACGGAAACACACGAACAAGGAGGCGTACTGCCTTCTGCGGGGGAGAGCCAGTGGCTTTTTCTCATTCTCACTTCAATTTGTCAGGGACTGATACTTTTGTGAAATACAATAAAATGATGTAGTAGAAAATGAAATTTAAAAAACTAAAAACATAAAAAACACTAGCCCATTATTTTATTATTAGACTCAACAGACAAAATTACTGGTTAAATTGCTATAAAACTTTCCAAACACAGTTTCCGTCCTCCTCTTGTTACAGACCTGTAACATACAGTTCAAGGGCAGCACCCATTCACAAACCACATTCCGAGTAGCCCTGCCTGGAGCATCCTTTAACAGCAAAAATGAAAACAAAAAAATGACCTTCAATAACACAGTTGTTAAACACATTTTGGTATATCCATATTATGGTTTAGCAATAAAAAATAATGAAGCACATGAGTCAGCAATTCCACTACTAAGTATATAACCAAGAGAAATGAAAACATATGTTCCCACAAAAACTTGTACATGAATGTTCGTAGCAGCTTTCTTCCTAATAGCCAAACAGTGAAACCTCAAATTTCCATCAACTGATGAATGGATAAACAAAATGTGATATATCAATGCAATAGAATATTATTCAGTCATAAAGAGGAATGAAGTACTGATACATGCCACAACATGGATGAACCTGGAAAAAATTATGCTAAGTGAAAGAAGTCAGACACAAAAGGACCATGTATTTATGATTTCATTTATATGAAATGCCCAGAATAGGCAACTATAGAGAGAAAAAATGTAGATTAGTGGTTGCCAGGGTCTGGGAGTGATAGAGGGATTGGAAGACGATGGCTAAGGGGTACAAGCGTTCTGTGTCGGATGATGAAATGTCCCAAAAATGACTGTGGTCACGGTTGCACAACTCTGTGCATATATATACTTAGAATCATTGAACTGTACATTTTAAATAGATGAATTATATGGTATATGAATTATATTATGCCTTGATAAAGCTGTTGTAAACAATAATGAAACAGAGTCCTAGACTTATTAAAACAATTGAATTAATTATTTAAAACCTAAAAAATTCCTAGGTCTGGATGTTTTTACTAGTGATTTCTTCCAAACATTTAAGAAGGAAGCAACACTAAATCTTACACTAATTCTTCCAGGGAACAGAAACAGGGATAACATTTCCCAATTCATTTTATGAGACCAGCATAACCTTGATACCAAAACCTGACAATAGAAGAAAGGAAAATTACAGACCATCTCTCCACTAAGACAGATGCCAAATCCCAAAACAAAGTGTTAGCAAATTGAGTCCAGCAACACATGAAAAGAATACACACCACCCAAGCAGCGTTCAGTCCACGAATGCAAGGGTAGTTAACATTCTAAAATCAATCAATGTAATTCATTGTTTTGACAGAAAAAAGGGAAAACTATCATATAATCATCTCATAAATGCGGAAACATCACTGACAAGTTTTAACACCCAATCATAACCCCCCCCCCAAAAAAAAACTCTCTCAGCAAACTAAGAAAACTGCTTTAATCTGATTAATATCTACAAAACACCTAAAGCAGTGGTCACACTTAATGTTTGTGTGTTATGAAACCAGGACGCCTGCTGTAGGATTGGTAATAATTCTATTCAGCACCACTGAAGGCCATAGCCAAAGCAACGAGTCCAGTAAAAGAAATAAAAGGCATAAGAATAGGAAACATATAAAACATATAAAACTATTTATAGATGATATGATAGAAAATACACAGGAAATCTAAAAGACTATCAACCTGTTAGTGTTAACAAGTGAATGTGGCGAGAACCCTGGAGACCAAGGGCAGCAGGAAAAATCATCAGCAACAGACAGAATAATTATCAAATATTTTTGATAATATTCAAAAATATTATCATTTAAAATAGCAGCAAAATCAGTAAATTCCTGGAAATAAATCTAATAAAATATGAGCAAGACCTCTGCAGTCAAAACTACAAAATATTATCAAATAAAATTAAAGAAGACCCAAATACATGGAGTGCTACACCACAAATTGGAGGCCTCAATATTGTGAAGATGTCATTTCTCCCTAAATTAATCTATATTCAGTGAATCTCATTCAAAGTCTCAGTGGGGTTTTGTTTTTTTTTTAATAGAAATTGGCAAACTGGTTGTAAAACTCACATGGAAATGCAAAGGCCCGAGAATGGCCGAGGCAATCCTGAAGAACAAAACACATCCTGACATCAACACTAACTCTTGGTAATTAAAATCACGTGGTATTGGCACACGCACAGACAAACTGAACAACAGGACGGAAAAGGCGGTCCAGACAAAGACGTGCACAGCCACCGGGATGACTGAAACAAAACAGGCAGAAGATGTCGAGTGTTGGTGAGGATGCAGAGCACCTGGAATTCTGGAATCTCATGCACACTTACCTGCTGTGGAAAGCGATGTGGTCCTGTTTACTAAAATCTCACATCTGCATACCTTATGCCCAGCAAGTCCACTGAGAGGTATAAACACAACAGACATGCATACACGTGTTCACTAAAATGCATACAAGATTGCTCAGAGCAGCACTGCTCCTAACAGCCCCAAACCTGGAAACTATCCAAACGCCCAACAACAGGCAAACGAACAAATAAATGAACAATCCACAACTACATCGGCAACACGGATAAGTCTCATCATGCTCAGCCAAAGACACCCAAGAATCTACACTGGGATTCCATTCATATAAAGCTTGAAAACAGGCGAGACGGGTCTACCGTGTGAGATATCGGGGTAGTGGTTACCCCTGGGGCAGCTGGGGGTCTCTGGAGGGCAGGTCATGTGCTGCTTCTTGACCTGGACACACACACAGGCTACGTGCACGTGCCTGTAGTAAGTTCTATTTTGACAAAGAGTTGAGACAAAGAATGAGGCAGACATCAGAGGTACCGATATGCCCATATTCTAGTGACAAAAGGTATTAGTGGCCGCAGAGACACAAATATGAAACGTGTGCGTCCCCACTGCCCTTCTGCCACCTCCTACCGAAGCACATGTGCTTCCTTCTGTCACTGTGGCTGCAGAGGGCTGACCGGGAGAAAGAACAGAAAGACAAGAATCAGAAGGGGCTGGAAACAGACCAGGAGACTGTTATGGAGGACAGGGTGAAAACCACTGGTGTGGAGGGAAAGGTGGAAAAGGTCCACGAAGGCAGGGGGAGAAAAAAAAAGACCAGAGCTCCCCGAGGGAAAAGTAGGGAGGGAAGCACTGCAGAGACTGGGTTGGTGTTTACTGAACGCCCCTGGAGCCCACTCAGGTTGGACTGACAGAGAGCGGTACCTTTAAATTGTAAAGATAAAAAAAACAGTGCAGAATACCACGCATTATTGTATTTCTGTGAGAATTTAAATGTGTGTATTTGTTTAAGCACAGAAGAAGATCTGGCAGAATGCAGACTACAGTGATCAGATCTACATCCAGAGCACAGACTGGAGGGGGGTCAGGCGAGGGTCCAAAGGGGACTTCTGTTACCTTTAGAACTGTGTTTTTTTTGAGGAGGGGAGACTGGGATAATTTTAAGAAGCACGGTTTGCTTTTATAATAATAATTTTTTTAAAATAAAAGGAGGACAGCCTGCTACAAAGACTGGAAAGGGGGGCCCTGTGGCAAGGCAGGGACCTTCAGGATGAAGAAAATGGTCTACTCTAGGTAGGAAATGAGCTGCTCGTGATAACCCCACAGAGGCCCTGGAGACCGCCTGAGTCAGCTGTCTGGGGCTTCTGGTCAGAGGGTTCAGAACCCTTCCCGCAGCCAGCCTGAGGGGCTGAGTCCCTGCCCCCAGTGGGGACATGGCAGGGACACCGGGGTTCACCCATCACTCCCCTACTTCTCCACCCCTCCCTCACCTCCACCTTCTTCCACCAAAACAATCCCTCCTACACTGGCCCTACCCCCTCCCTCCTGCAAGCTCCCTCTCCTGAGTTTATCACCTTCACACAGCCCACACTCCCCCTCCCCCTCCACACATACACCTTCCCCGCCTTTTCTACACCCACCACCCCCAGGCAGTGAAGGGGCCAGTGCCTGGGTAGCAGAACTTGACCCTCACAGACCCCTCCACCTCCAGCCCCTGATGGAGCTCCTGGATCCTGAGAGGGGAGGAGGCAAGAAGAGAGATGTACACTTTAGGGGGCAAACAGGTAGGGGCGGGGCTGGAAGGTACCACCTGGTCCTCTTGGAAGTTAAGCCCAACTCCTGCCTGGGGTGTGGTGGAGGGGGAGAGTGGTCATTCCTGGGCAGCTGCTCCTGGCCTTCCTCAGGAGGGGTCCCTTGTCCTCTCAGAGCCCCCCCCACACAGAGAAAACGCTAAGACCAGTGGCCAGACCCCACACTGAGCACCACATAGCCCACAGTCACAACTAATAAACATGCCGCTCCTGCGCACGGCTGACCTTTCAGCAAGCCCTAGGGCCCGCACGGTCTGCCTCTGGCCCCACCTGTGTGACGGGCAGTGCCGCCGATGGGAGGTAAAGTCACTGCCCAGTCCTTCGGTGGGTGGCGCCACTCAGGTGCATTCCCTGCTCTGTCTCCGAGTCTCCTGCTGCCTCCCCACCGAGGGGCACGTGTGGTCTCGTCTATACGTTTTTAAAAGCACATTCTTCACAAAGCACTGCAAGGGGAGGTGGGTTTGTGTACTTCTAATGGGGGACGGCTCTGGACCCACTCCATATTGGCCATTCAATCTCCTTTGTTGGCTGGACTCTCCCTTCCTAATGAGCGCCCATTCCCCTTGAAGCCTTGGCCCCCAGTGCTTTCTGTGCTAGCCTGTGAGTGGGCTGCACAGGGCTGCTTCTAAAGAAAGGACCAGACAACGGACCACTTCAAGCCCATTAGTGTCAGGAGATTCATGACCTGGCGGGGAAGGCAGCCCTGCTGGCATTCAGGCCTGCTTCTAAAGGCAGGGCTGGAAAAAATGAAAGAGAACGGTGGGAGCAGGACGAAGAATAGCCTTTGGTGGGTCATGAGGGAAACCCCAGGGCCACTCCAAAGAAAAGGGCTTTAAAACTCTGCCCGCTAATAATCTAAAGGGCAGCAGAGGGACTCCCAAGTTCAAGGGCTCCCCAAGAAGCCAGGAGTTGCTTTCTCCATCTTTGATCAGAAGTTCACAGGGGGTTCTGGCACCAAATGAACCAGGAGTCCAAGCAGAAATGGCATTCTTCTCTGCAGAGGCAACAAAAGGAATGTGCCCCCACCCCCCTGCTGACCTTGGTCCCTAAGTAGCCCCCCAAGGTAATAATGATCTGCGTCTGGCTCTCTCCTGCCTCCTGGGACCACAGATCACTTTCCTTAGGGATAAATGAAAAGACATCCTTAGATGCCTACTGTGCACCAAGTACATCCACATACACTTATCTCAGTACATCCTTAAAACAAACCTGTGAAGTACATGATGTTATCCCATTTTACGCACACGGAGATGGAGAGTTTAAAGAATCAGGTAACTTGCCCGAGTTCACAGAGCCAACGGGTGGCCACAGTTGTCATTCATGGCTGGGTCCACCCACATCTACACCCAGACTCCCTTCCCCCACACCGCACGGCATCCTGGCACCCACGGGGGAGGTGTCTTCCTACCTCTCAGCCCAGCCATGGAAGCCTCTGGTGGAGGGACGAGCACAGGGTCCAGGCCTGCCCAGTAGGACTCTCTCTCCTGAGACCCTGAACCTCAGGCAGAGTGACAGACATAAAAAACAGTCAGTGTAGACACATCCAAGAGGCTTGTCATTCCTAGG